AGTAAAAACAAGCAAGAGTATGAATAGGATTAAAGTGTATCAGGGTCATCCTTTACTGAGAAAATAACACCTGATAAAGGCCTGAAGAAGGGGAGCAAGGGAGTCAGGGGTGTCTAGGGAAAGAATATTCTAGGACAGAGACTGTCGGGTGCAAAATCCCAGAGGCAACAGTGTACCTGTTCTTTTTGAGGAGAGCAGGTGGACAGTTTGGAGCAAGTAGGAAATGAGATCAGAGGAGTAATATGTGACCAGATGGCATGATGCTCAAATTCCATTTTAAAGACGGGTTTCACTCTAAGTGAGAATGGGAAGGCTTTGCAGTTTTAAGCACAGCAGTGACCTGCTCTGGTGCACTAATTTTAATGGGATCATTCTGGCGGCTGTATTGAGAATAGATGGAGGGAGAAGCAGGGAGTCCAGTGTGGAGTCTGTTGCAATAATCCTGGTGAGACATGATGGACCAGATGGTAATGCTGGAGGTGGTGAGAAGAGACAGGATTTGAAATAGGTTTAAGATAACCTGACCAGAATTTTATCCTGGATTGGATGGGATGTGAGACAAAGAGGGAAATCAGTGATGACACCAAGATTTTTGTCCAAGAAGTTAGATAGATGGAGAAGAATGCTAGAGATAGAGGAAGAAAGGAAGGTCAGGGTCTCATGTATGGAGATAAGTTTAGGTATCCAATTGGAGATGTTGAGATGGCAGCTTTAATAAGAGTCTGCAGATGCAAGAAGAGGATTAAACTCGGGGTATAAATGAATGAACTGTCAACCATGGATTGTGTTTAAAACCATGAAACTGGTGAGATCACCACGGGATTGAGTACAGAAAGAAAGAGAATGGGTACAAGCATTGTGCCCTGGGAACTTCAAGGTTAGGAGTCCAAGAAAATGAGGAGACACCAGCAAAGGAGACTGAAAAGAGCAACGAGGAAGACAGGAGGGAAGTCATAAAGAGCGGAGCTGGGCAAGCCCAGTGGGAAGAGGATACTGGAGGAGAGAACAGTTGCATCAGTTTTGCTGGAGAGTATGTGTAAACTAGAGACTGAGAATTGAGCCACTGCATTTAAGAGTGTGGAGACCATTAGCATCACTAAGAGCGGTCTCAGTGAAGTGGGAGGAATAAGAGCCTTGCTGAGGTGAGCTGCAGAGGGAAGTTTTGTTTTTTCATTCATTTGCTTGGTTTTTGTTTTTTTGTTTTGTTTTCATTAGAAAGCATTAAGATGATAACTGGAAGGGAAGTGAATCAAGAGAGGCTTTGGGGTGTCTTGCTTTGTTTTAAGGTGGTAGGAAGAACAGCACTTTTGTGTGTTAGTAGAAAAACTCTGAGAAAAGGAGAAATTTAAAGAAAGAGCAGGAAGGTAAGAGAGAAAGAGCAAGAAAATTGCTGGCGCAGTTTCCATGGGTGAAAGATCTGGAGCAGAATTGTGGGTGGGCCTTATTCACATTCTGCATGCAAAGTGCTTCTCATGGTGCTCAGCACTTAGTAAGTCTCAAAACAGACATATTAAACTACCAACTGTCAATTAAAAGAGTTTGGCTAAAGTGATCTGACAGTTCCACTGTTGTCACAACATTCAGTAGATGAATGAAAGTAAGTTGAATAGAATAAAGATGACGAAAGGAAGACATTTAGAAGTAACATTGGATCACATTGACTAGCATCTAGGATTTTAGTCAAAAGGTAAACAAAAGTCTAAAAGATTCTAAAGGTAAACAAAAGTCTAAAAGATTTTTCCTGAAGGAATGTAGGAAGAGTGATGGGTTAGTGTTCCCTTCTGACCCACGAGGTGAGTCAAGTACCAGGATCCTTGACTCCTTGTAGATAATTAATCAATTATCTTTGCCCTTTATAAGTTCAGTATGATGGAAAACCACCATCTCCTGTCTCACAATCACTGCATGGCATAATGTTATTTCCATGCCCTTTTCATGTTCTTCCACTGATTTTTTACACTGTTTCATAAAGGCTAAGCTGTAGGGCAGTCACGATAGGACAACAGACATAGGAAGGTGGGGGGTAAAAGCATAACTGCCATTTCCACTGAGAAGAAAATGGGGTTGGAGCAACTGCAACCCCATTGTGTTCCTAATATGAGCACAACTCTGTGCCAAGTACTGGAAGAAGCACACTATACTTATGAAAAATATCCCAGCAAACATGTAGCTCTATGAAACTACAGTTCGTTACTTAACACTGTTGTCTTTTTATGATTATAATCATTGTGCTTCACTGAGGCAGGCAGCAAATTCCCATGAATCTTAATTCTCCACTTACTTCAATATAGATTTGGAGATGTGTTCCCTTGGAAAAAGGACTTGAGCACCCAGGTGTCATAAAATCATACTTAAGAAAGTAGTAAAATTTGACTGCACATTGTAATAGAGAAGCAACTTTTGGAAAACATTAATAAAAACAATAAAATTGCAATGATGAACTCAAAACCAACTCACCAAAAGCTTTACAAATGTAGGAAAGCTGAGAAGCTCACTGTAGTAACCTACCTCCTCTTCTCACAATTGTTCCAATCCAAGGACAGCAATGACTAACATGATAGAAACGATCGATTTAGATTTTACTTAACTCGAGCCACTGTGTCTATGATCCAGGGTTATCTTTTACAGTTCTTGCATGTCTCAAAACTGTGAAGTTTCTTTCCTGAACTCTGCTCAATATTTTTAGTATAATATGTATGTTGTCCCTGAAATATTTAAGGGGACCTGTGACTCGAATGTGTAGAAGCTGGTGTCTGACTACTGATTGACAGTTATATCTAGCTTGCCACCTGTTGCTCAGCTTAATACTCTGTTTATCTTAGAGTTAGGTAAGCTATGCTAAATCTGGCCCAGGATATGTGTTTTGTAAATAAAATCTTACTGGAACACAGAAAGTCATCCTTATTTGTTTATTTATTGTTTACAGCTGCTTCTAAAAGGCAAATGTACTAGTTAGGGCCAACAAAGCTTAAAATATTTACTATTTGGCCTTTTACAGAACAGGCTTCCCTGGGTGGCCCTAGTGGTAAAGAGCCTGCCTGCCAGTATAGGAGACATAAGAGACAAGGGTTCGATCCCTGGGTCAGGAAGATCCTCTAAAGGAGGGCATGGCAACCCACTCCAGTATTCTCGCCTAGAGAATCCCATGGACAGAGGAGCCTGGCAGGCTTCAGTCCATGGGGTTGCAGAGAGTCAGACATGACTGAAGCGACTTGGCAGGCACTCATGTCTCTACAGAAAGAGGTTTCCCATACATTGTTTAACTAATGGCTGGTGTCCTCATTAAGCAGTGTTTGAGCTGTATTTACCTATCCACATGCTGACAAAACAAGGAATTAGAGTGCAGATCAAGTCTGCACCTCTGAGGACCCAACTTCTATGAATCTAGAGTGTGCTGCCCTCGGCAGTAAGGTTTTACATTTTCCTTGATATCTTAAATTCAGAATTTATAAAATGGATTTCCATTAGGTCACAAGCACCTACATGTCAAGTAGATTTCCTTTTTTGGTTATTACAGGAAGAAAATTTTACAAGTGTTTCTGTGCTAAGTCGCTTCAGTCATGTCCGACTCTTTCCAACTCTATGGACTGTAGCCCACCAGGCTTCTCTGTCTATGGGATTCTCCACGCAAGAATACTGGAGTGGGTTGCCACGCCTTCCTCCAGGGACAAGTGTTTCTATCAAAATGCAAATATCTGAAATTTACTTTGTCCCTCTCTAGTCTAATTTTTATAACTTGTTTTCTACTCCCTATCAGTTTATGTGATATGAAAACCTCCTAGCTCGTTTCATCTTATCATTAAACCAGGGCTTTGAAAAATATAAAAAGGTTTCTAAAAGATTATTGTTCTTAAATTATTGTCTTTTATTTTGAAATATCAGTGTATAGACTCATTTCAATACCACATGTGTGAAAAGAGAAATATTGAGCTGAATAATCCTTCAAATGGTAGTACTTTTCCCCATTGTTAATCTCTAGAGTTCTAATTTTTTGTCTGTCCTGAGCGAAAATCTAAACATTCTAATTCTTCAACAGAGTACCATAGTAAATTTATAGCTGCTCTGTCTTAGACAATATATATATTTAGGGAAGGAAAATTTCTAATTCAATTTACAATTATGTCAAGAAACAACACGTATCTGCAGGCAAAGATAAGAAAAATATTCAGGGTACAAAGTGATAGGTCTGCTTAAGTAAATAAACTTTTGGTACTAGTGATTAGGCACACAGGATAATTATATGTTTAATTGGCCAATGTGACAATTTGGAATTACTTCCAGTTACGTTTAATTGGATTTGGAATCTCTGGAGGAAAGAAATAGAGAAGCCTAGCAGAGGAAAAGTCATAAAAGTAAACTGTTTTTCCAAAGGGTGCTAAGCAATGAATTAATATCCACTGCACAATAGTTTTTAATATCCCCTCAGCTTAATAAGACTAATGTGGTGGTTATACACACTAGATTCCAAAACTAAATCAATGAAACACCAAGGCCAGGAAAGCAAAGTGTTTGTTGAGTTGGAAATTTTTTATTTTCAATTTTAAGATGACTAGTTAAGCCCAAGGTGAATAATCTTTAATTTAGGTAAAGTCTGAGACATGCCTAAATACCAGTATAACAGTTAGCTATATATGTTATGCTAGATTTGAAGGTGTTCTAGAGTCCATAAAATAAATGTTATTCTATAAATGCTTTGCAGTTTATTAAGAGGTAACCAAAATGAAGCATTCTCTCATTGTCTTTAAATACTCTTATACTGTATAAACAGAAAAACCATGTAGAAGACAAATGGCATGTTGCTTCTCTTCTAGATTTAATTTCAGTACCAGAAAAAAAAAAAGACCTACTTTCTACGTTCTAAAATGTGCTTTATGCTTTGCTTAATATTAGCCTAGTCAAATTTAAAAAAGATCTTTGGTATTTATATATAATGCCTGCTATAGTTTTCCTTCTGTCCTACCTATAATTTTTTTTTTTTTTCAATCTGTCCTTGTTCTTAGGAGTGCCATGATTGCTGACTACATGTTCTGGCTCTGTGGAGGAAGTGAACATGGTGTAAGCAAGCTCATCAAACTGTATTGGCAGGTAAAAATTGATGTCCCACCCAGGGAGGAGGAGCCCGTTTCATTTTTAGAACCAAAATGAAGGACTGGTGCTTGAAAGACTGCTGGAAAAGGTAGCTCTGGGCATATCAATCAGAAGGACACTACTCCATAGTAATGTATTTATAATGAAGTAGATTTTCTGAGACTAATCTTAAGGGCAAAATTCAAGGTTGTTAACCCTTGGCCTATACTTCAGTTTTACAACCCAATATAAATTTTAGACATCCCAGGAACTATGTTCCCAGGCATGCTGCTATAATGACATGATCCTTTAAAATATGAACATTGTGTTTTCATAGATTCTTTTTGATCTGTGAACTGTAAAAGCAAATTCTAGAAGTAATACCAATACACAATAAATAAAAATACAAAGATCCATTGTATTTGTGGAGTAATGTAGCATCTGAAACACTTAATCTGTTATAAACTGCAGATCTTCTTTCTTATTTATTATTCAAAACAGCAACAAGAAGTCATACCAAAGGTCAACTAGATGTCAAGTAGGGAGTCAAAATATCTCAGAATTTTAAGAAGAATTTGTTATTGTTATTCAGTTGCTAAGTTGTGTCTGACTCTTTGTGACCCCATGGACTACAACACACCAGGCTTCCCTGTCCTTTACTATCTCCCAGAATTTGCTCAAACTCATGTCCATTGAGTCGGTGATGCCATCCAACCATCTCTAATTCAGTCTCCTTCACAACATACAAATCTGTTCTTATTCTATCCTCTCCCCACAAACTGTCAATGACTTTCTCCTGAAATACATTCAAGGTGAAGAACTCATTCCCCAAAAAATAACATCTAACTCCCTAATTACTGAACTACTTTCCTCATTAAAATGGATTTATACTCCCTTAAAACTTTCATCAAGTGGTTCCCAGTGAGGCCACATGGACCAAATGGAAATCCACTTCCAAATGAAATGTTATCAAATTTAAAAATCCAGTACAGAAGCCTCTTCCAAATTTCCTCTCCAAACTGTGTGTGGCCTTTTTTTCCTTTGTATTTCAAGATGGTTTAATGTAATTGAATATGAACCTTATCAACCAACTAGAATAAGATCTGCTAAGACCTGATATGTAAGATAGAAATAATCGTCAACAGTCTCCTGATGCTTCCTGATATTTTTCCCAGATTTTCAGTATTGTGCTTTGGTGCCTGGTTTTCTGTTTCTATATCACCTATTATCCTTGTTGAACAATAAAGTAGTAGGTTTATCATATAAAATTCTTAGCAATATATATGGTTCCATCTGAATATTTGGAGCTCAATTCACCTGCTATAAAAAGTAAAGATTTAAATTAGCCCTAATATACTTGAAATCTGTAAATTGACTTTCAAAATGTAAAATTTAAGACTTTATTTATGTAAATGCAAGACTTTCCTAAGGAAATCTAGATCATGCAAAACAGTAGTTACTTGTATGTATGTAAGCAAATAGTTGTAAAGAATTGCCAGATGTGGAAAACAAGCAAATAATATCTACTACATAGCTATATTAAAAGAAAGTGAAAGTGTTAGTCGCTCAGCCATGTCTGACTCTTTGAGGCCCTATGGACTGTAGCCCGCCAGGCTCCGCTGTCCCTGGTATTCTCCAGGCAAGAATACTGGAGTAGGTAGCCATTCCCTCCTCCAGGAGATCTTCCTGATCCAGGGATTGAACCCAGTTCTCTTGCACTGCAGGTAAATTCTTTACCATCTGAGCCACTGGGGAAACCCATAGTAAAAGAAAGGGGTTATTATTAAAGGATTTCAGAGGTTTTTGAACAAAGCTGGGAAAGCAGTTGAATCTTGAGGGTTAGATGATATTCAGCAGACCTGACATTTACCGGATTCCAAATGAATGCTTGATTAATTTATTCATTCATTAAACAAACACGTATTGAGCATCCAATATTTTTTCTACACTGAACAAGGAAAAAATAGATCCAATGTTGGTATAGCCTAAAATAAGTTAAGAGCTTGAAATTTTTATAAATGAATTTTTGTCTGTCTTCTTCAGCTTTCAAAGAGTATTAATATCCCTATTTTACTTAACTCAAATTTTTAAAAAAATCTCCACTTACCAAAAAGTACATGCTATACAAAAAAGGAATAAAACAAATGCTATTATTTTACTATTTTGCATTAATAAAATATAATAAAGATCGTATTTGTCTTTGTATTCTTTTTCTCCTTTAATTTGAAGCAACTTGATATACTGAAAAAGGGCTCTCATCTGGAAGTCAGAACTGACTCAGTTCAAGTTCTAACACCAACATCTAACCTAAAGCAGGCTAGTCTCTAGAGGAGTTTCAGCTAGAAAATAAGAGGTGATGATTGGATGCCATCACTGACTCAATGGACATGAGTTTGAGCAAGCTCTGGGAGTTGATGATGGAGAGGGAAGCCTGGCATGCTGCAGTCCATGGGTTCACAAAGAGTCAGATATGACTGAGCAACTGAACTGAGAACAAGGGATTTGAGGTTTATTCTTAAAGCCCATCTTAGCTCTGAAATCTCATATTTTTAGGGACATTCAAATATGATGTCACACAACCTACTGATGATATGACAAATGAATGGTTAATATCCAAAATACTTAAGCGGCTCATACAACTTAACATCAAAAAAGAAAACAACCTGATTTTAAAATGGGCAGAAGACTTGAAAAGACATTTTTCCAAAGAGGACATGCAGATGGAAAACAGGTACCTGAAAAGACACTCAACATTGCTAACTATCAGGGAAATCAAAACCACAATGAGCTATCACCTCACACCTGTTAGAATAGCTATCATCAAAAAGACCACAAATAAAAAATGTTGCTGAGGATGTGGAGGAAAGAGAAACCTCCCACACTGTTAGTGGGGATGTAAATTGGTATAGCCCCAATGGAAAACAGTATGGAGTTTTCTCAAAAAGCTAAACATAGAACTACCATATGATCCAGCAATTCCATTCCTGAATTTATATCCAAAAACAAAAACACTAATTCAAAAAGATACATGCACACCAATGTTCACAAAGGCATAATTTATAACTGTCAAGATATGGAAGCAACCTAAGTGTCCATAAATAGATGAGTGGTAAAGAAGATGTAATGTGTGTATATATACACATATATAATGAAATACTACTCAGCCATAAAGAAGAATTTTCATCCTTCTTTTGTCATTTGAAACAACAATGAATGAACTTGGAGGATATTATGCTAAGTGCAATAAGTCACGCAGAGAAAGACAAATACTATATGATGTCCCTTATATGTGGAATCTTAAAAATACAACAAACTAGTGAAGATAACAAAAAAGAAGCAGACTCATAGAGAACAAATTAGTGGTTACCAGTGAAGATAGGGAAAGAGGCAGGAGAAATATAGGGCAAGGAGATTAAAATATGCAAACTACTATGTATAAAATAAGATACAATAATATACAATACAGGGAATGCAGTAAATATTTTATGATAACTATAAATGGAGCACAACCTTTAAAATTTTTGAATCATTATATTGTACACTTGTAATTTATAAACTATTGTACAACTATACATCAATAAAAAACACATATAAGTTACAAAGTTTAAGGAAAAAAATAACATAACTAGGAAACATCCTGCAGATAAGTTCCACAAACAAAACCCCTCTAACCTGCTCCAACATGAGCACTCCACACCACTGTCTCCATAGTTACATAATTCCATCTGCTCACCAGTCTCTTCCTGATCTTCATTCAAATGTATATATCTTTCCCCAAACCTTGGTCTGTTCTAAATCAAAACGGGTTTGTGGAACACTGCCAGAGAGTATGCAGTCCACGTCAACTTTAAAGACAAGTCCGTCCCAAAGCACCATGGCAATCAAAGTGTTCAATATAAGAATGCCTCAAACATCACAGACTAGAAATTATGTCTGCATGTATGTTAGTAGCTGTCCATTAAGGCTGAAGAGATGTGGGCTTTTTTCACCATTTCATAAATGAAGAAGTTATGATTTATCTGCCTTTCAACCACATAAAATCTCTACCATTCTAGTCAGTTATTCTTTTAGAGATGTCCAACGGGAAATTGAAAATTTTGGAATGTAAAAACTTAAGAACAAGTCTAAACATACTCTCACAGTCTGTCAACTTACAAACCCTCAGATGCAGATGAACACACCTTTGCTTTGGTGAGTTCAAGAATGGCTTTCAGTTGTATTAGGAATATTTTTCATATCATCAGCTCAGCAGGAAAAAGATGCATAAAGCTCTACACTATGTGACAGCTCATACTGGGATATGTTGCTTTCATTAAAAGTGTTTGCCCACATTATTCTATACTGGTATCACCTCTTCATACAGTTCATGGGACTCTCAGTCCCATCACTTCATGCAAATAGGTGGAGAAAAAGTGGAAATGGTGAGAGGCTTTATTTTCTTGGGCTCCAAAATCACTGCAGATGGTGACTGCACCCAAAAAATTAAAAGACACTTGCTCCTTGGAAGAAAAGCTATGACAAACCTAGACAGTAGTAGAAAGCGGAGACATCACTTTGCCGACAAAGGTCCATATAGTCAAAGCTACGGTTTTTCCAGTAGTCATGTACAGATGTGAGAGTTGGACCATAAAGAAGGCTAAATGCCAAAGAATTGATGTTTTCAAATTGTAGTGATGTAGAACACTCTTGAGAGTTCCTTGGACAACAAGGAGATCAAATTAGTCAATCCTAAAGGAAATCAACCCTGAATATTCATGGGATGGACCGATGCTGAAGTTGAAACTCAAATACTTTGGTCACTTGATGTGATGAGCAAACTAACTGGAAAAAGACCCTGATGCTGGCAAAGATTGAGGACAGGAAGAGAAGGGGGCGACAGAGGATGAGATGGTTGAATGGCATTACCGACTCAAGGCACATGAGTTTGAGCAAACTTCAGGAAACAGTGAAGAACAGGGAGCCTGGCGTGCTGCCATCTGTGGAGTTGCAAAGAGTTGGACACGACTAAGTGTTTGAAC